GTGACTACAAATGAGAGACACAAGAAACGCGTGGTTGTCGACTACAGCCAAACAATGAATCGATTCACTCATCTTGATGCATACCCTCTCCCAAAGGTTGACGAATTATTAGAGAGAGTGTCTCACTACTCCCTCTTCAGTACCTTCGATCTTCAAAGTGCTTACCATCAAAACCCCATTCGCGAAGAAGATAAACCTTATACAGCTTTTGAGGCATGCGGTAAGTTGTATCGATTCCGCCGCATTCCATTCGGAGTTACGAACGGAGTGGCCTGCTTCCAAAGTGCTATAGATAGTATTATCCGTGAAGAAGGCTTACGAGATACTTTTGCCTACGTTGATAATGTCACTGTTTGCGGCTGCAATGCAAAAGAGCACAATGCAAATCTCAAGAGCTTTCTGGAGGGTTCCAATAGACGTGGAATAACGTTCAATGAAGGTAAGAGTATTATTTCTGCCACCAAGATTCCACTCCTGGGATACGAAATCACACATGGGATGGTTAAACTTGACCCTGAACAATTCCGCACTCTACGAGAGTTATCTGCACCTTTCGACATTCACTCACAGAGAACAGTAGTCAGAATGTTGGCATATTATGCCCAGTGGATCCCTCATTTTTCTGATAAAATTCATATTTTGGTAAACAACCGGACATTCCCACATCCCAGAGAAGTGCAGGATGCGTTGGAAATCATGAAAGAGGAATTGGAGAAAGCCGCTGTGTATATAATCGATTATAACCGTTCTTTGGTGGTCGAGACAGACGCATCCGAAATTCCCATAGTTGCCACGCACAACCAGGACGGAAGGCCAGTGACCTTTTTCTCTCACACTTTATCTCACAGTGAGCAATGTCATTTTGCTATCGAAAAAGAAGCTTGTGCCATTGTCGAATCTCTAAGAAAATGGAGACATTACTTACTCAACAATCATTTCACTCTCAGCACTGACCAACGTTCAGTAGCATTCATGTATGATAAACAACACAAGGGAAAGGTGAAAAATGGCAAAATCCAAAGGTGGAAACTGGAACTCTCGTGTTATCATTATGACATCCGGTACCGTCTCGGTGACCAAAATAAAGCGGGAAAACTGTCTCTCTCCTAAGTCACGCACTGACTTGAAACATTTACATAATACACTCTCTCACCCAGGTAGTACACAAATTTTACATTTTGTTTGTTCTAAAAGTTTACCATTTGTCGTGTATTTATTATTGCCTTTTCTGTTGCATCGATTGCTATTATTCTGGGTGCATATTCTAACATTTTGCTTGTCCCGTTTTAGCTCTCATGCCTCGTTTTTGGTCGATTAAAGCCTATCATTAAGGCGTTGTCTTCTGGCTTGTCTGCCGACTAAACGTGTGATCAGATACACTACAAGTTTCTCGTCAATCATAATCTACTACGTTAAACCATTCTCACTCGATGACATCAAAGCCGTCAATAGTCAGTGTGCAACGTGTGCTGAACTTAAGCCCCGCTTCCTCAAACGACATTTTGGAGAACTCGTTAAAGTGACGCAACCATTTGAACGAATCATTATTGACTTTAAGGGTTCACCCTCACCCATATCCCATAACAAATATCTCTTGGAGATGATTGACGAACATTCACGTTTTCCCTTTACGTTTGCCTGTTCGAACGTTTCTTCGTCGACCGTCATCGAGTGTTTCAATCAATTATTTTCAGTTCGGGTTACCTTTACATATCCATTCGGATCGCGGAGCATTCTTCATGTCTGATGAGTTGCGAAGTTTCCTTCATGCCAAAGGAATCGCAACCAGCCGAACGACCCCATATAATCCGCGCGGCAACGGACAGGTAGAACGATTAAACGGCACTTTATGGAAAGCCATCACACTACTGCTGAGGTCTCAAAAACTGAAC